GGGAGAAAACCAAAACAAAAAAACAAAAAAAAAAACACCAAAAAAAACCCACCACAAAGTGTCCCAAGTTCAAATGCAATACAGTTTCAGTAAGTTTTTCCCCATGCAGGTGTAGTTCGGTTGTTTTCTCATCAAAGGTAGGGAGAGAGAAAAAAAAAGTCTGGAGACAGTTCTGTGAATGGCTATCTGCAGCTGTGGCTTGCCTGCCCGCTGCTGTCAGCCTGCTGTAGCTGGAGGCTTTATTTATGCAGATCTCTGGGGTGAGCTTAGCACTCACCTGGCCCCGCAGGCTTTATTTACTCAGAGTTCTCCTGTGTGTGAGCCGCTGCTACAAGCTTTCCTCTTTCCAAGCACACTGGGGGAGGTGACACTGCACCCGCTTTCTCAGGCCTGTGTGTTTATTTACAGCTCAGTGGGAAGTGGGTGTTCCCCCCTCTCCTGTGGAGTTTTCCTCCCACTGCTGCTTTTACAAGCTTTCCGGCTCCTGGTTGCTGGGTGTGTGCCGCCACTCCTGCCTTCTCCAGCTGACTTGTTGTGAGGGATTTCCCCTCTCCCCCTTTGGTGCTCAGGGCACCCCGCCCTCTTTGCTATGTGTTTTTTTTTGATGTTATTCTTATTATTCAGTTTTTTTTTCCTTTTTTTCCCTGGGTGGGGGTCGGTCTGTCCAGGGGGCTATGCTGATCTGGCCCAGGGTTGTCTGTGGGAGTACTGCGTACCGCTTAGCTCACCTTGTGGTCTGCGTCTTCCCAAGCCATCTGGGTGCTGCCGTCTGGTGGTGACTCAGGAGCCCTCCTGGTTTCTCCATTTAATGTGGAGTGGGGATGCTATTCGTGGGCTGGGGGTGTGGAGGAGTCAAAGTTTTGCCTCTTCTCGGTGGTTTTTCCTGTTAGGTGTATCTCCAGCATCTCTCCAAGATTTTACTTTAGGAAGCACGCTTTCTGCTTCCTCCCTCTAACCGCCATCTTTGGTTTATTGCTTGTTGCAGCAAGAGGAGCACACACCCTGGGAGCCATGGCGGTTGTCTCCATGCAAAGGTGTTAAGAATGACTGATAGCATTTGATGGTGTGTTCACTGATTTGGGGAAGTTTCAAGGAAGCAAACAGTTGCTATAGATTAAATGCTATCAGGAAGTGAGTGCAATTCTGTAGTTAGGTATCATCATGAGTCTTATCTAGAAGGATGGAGAAATTAAATAAGGCTAAAGTTGTAACTGGAAAAAAATTAGTAGTCATTTATATTATTGAGAAGAGGGAGATATTTGGTATTTTTGTGGTTTGTGGTGTAACTTTGCTTTTTGTGTGTGCTTTTATAAGATTTTGAAATAATATTCCTTTATTCCTGCCATTCCACTGCAGGCACAGAGTGGCCTTGTCTGATATTGGTGTCCTGAGAGGTTGCTAATGGGACAGCACCAATGTCTAGTTCTGTGTGCCAGCCTTCTTCTCACTGCACAGGGATCCCCACCCCAACAGGGTCTGGCCTGTTCCTCACCATTAGGGGCTAATTAAATTTAATTGTTAAACATAAGCAAAAACATATAAGAGGACCACTGGTCTTACAGGCAGAGAAAAATGTGGGTTTTAGAGTTTGACCAGGGTTTCTGTTGTTTTTGCAACTCACCAGTGGGATATCACCTTGTGTAATTGTTATCCACACTTCTTATTTCTCCACATTTAAAATGAGAGTAATAATTGTAAAGATTAAGAGACGTGATGTGTAGAAGCACACAGTACTTGTTATGAATAATTGTTCAGTAAAATTATTGTTTTTAATCCTTGTTATTTTGTCATTATACCAATAACATTCTCCCCATACTCAACAATTGTGAGTGGGATTGGGGATTTAGTCAGTAGTAAGGTTCTTGCTTAGCATGTGCAAGTCCCCAAATTTGAGTCCAAGCACTGAAAAAAAAAAAAAGGAAGAAGAAAGAAGGAGTTCTAAGTAGTAGCAACAGGAAATTGACATTAAAGTTAGCACTGAGCTATAATAATATATAATAATATATAATAATATATAATAATATATAATAATATCATAAGCAAGAAAAAAGCACAGATTCTCTGACTCCTCCTCCCCTCCTCCTTTCCTTCCTCATCAGACCTGGGAGTGGAAAGGAGTTACATACTCATGAAGAAAAGTAGAGTCTGATTAAATACGTAGAGTTCGATGAAAGAAGTTAAAGAGACCCTTGATGATTTAATTTAAGTAATAAATCTCATTGACAGGTAATAAGTCTACCCATAGGTCAGTGATGTCTATTACAAATGATGCTGGGGAATGACTTCCTACAGGTTCCTCCATAAGCGTGGCCAAGTTCCTCCACAACTGGTGGCTGGTTAGATGCAAGAATTAACTGTGCCAGATCTCACAGTAGGCAGTTCCCAGCAGTCTTTGTTCATAATGTACCTTGGCTTTTGTATTGACAGTGTTATTCCAGAGGCTTCCCCAAGCCTTTGATTTAATTCTGTTTGGTGCCTAACCAACAGATTCCCAGAGCACTGCTACACAAAGTGTGGTTTCTAGATCAGTACTGGCTCCGTGAAAAATCTGGTACTGATTCATGATAAACAGAAAAAATTGAGATTCAGTTCTTAGAAACAATTGTAACAAAAAGATATTCCTGCGGCATCTAAGCCCATGGTCAGTAAGCTTGTATTTTACATGTCTCTTTACTTTTTAGTAATTCACTTCATTATATTTTATAAAAGTATCAATATACAAGCTAGGTATGATGGCAGATGACTGTAACTCCAGCATTTGGGAGACTGAGGCAGGAGGATTGAGAGTTCCAGTCTAACCTGGGCCACATAGCAAACAAAAAACAACAAAACAACATGCAATAGGTTGGAAAACAAAATGTTCATCTTTACAAGTAGTTTGAGAAGTATTTTTTGAGACCAATGAAAACATAAGGTGAAATAACAGAAATAGAGTCATGAACACAGGGTAATCATGCTCTGAGGAAAGGGTATGGGGCCTGTGGTGGGCTAGGGTAGAGTGGAAGTGTCTTGTCCATGTGGGTGAAGCATATACAAAGGTTTTCACTCTGTGTGTAGTTTCCAAAAGGAAGTACTGGATGATGACTTGGAGATGTCTGACTAATTTTAGTTCAGTATTATTCAGACAAGACTTATATAACTTCATTCAGTTGTCTGTTTAGAGTCCACTCTTAGAAAACATGTCTAAATGTGTCTGACTTACATTCTTTGTATCAGTTTTCAAGTCTTTTCCAGCGTCATTCACACACCAAACTAGATTTGGATCTTGGATTTTCTTTTTTCTTTATGGATGTGATGTAAAGGTGAGTTTCTATGTGACCTGGCTAGAATTTGTGTTTGGTTGAATACATCCAGGGCAAAATAAATGTGATCACTTTACACAGCTTTGATGCCTTTTCATTCTGAAATCATGTGTAGAAACTCACTCCAAGGAATAAAAGAGATTACATGTAGTATCAGAAAAGGGGTTCTTTGAGTTTAATAGGGTGCTGGTACTTTCTTTACTGACACGATCAGCAGAATTGTAGGGTTAAATACTCAAGCAATGTAAATCTGGCTGACAAATATGCTTTTCTTCTGCATTTCTGCTTAGACTTCAACCTCAAAGCTTCTTATAAAGTAGCCTCCTTGAAGATGAAAAGACTGTGCCACTCATGCATTCTTGACATTTGGACTGACTTAAGACGGACTAGGGAGTTTTTATAGAGGTGTTAAGATCACTTTGCTTTTTCATTATAGCAACTGTATTTATATAAAAAAATTAGAATCACATATGATCATATATACATAGAGAGTTGACTCATCCTTTGTAACAGTTATTTTCTGTGAAGTCTCCAAGAACACTAAATTAGGGAATACTGAATCATTACTCCTAGGGGAAATAAAGGTTAAGTTCCTCTGAGCCTTTGGTTACACAATTTTTCTCCACCAGTCAATGTGTAACCTTATTTTCTGTTGAAAGACACCTTTTCAAGTACACAGTATATGGCTGATTCGTTGACATTGAACTGCTGTAATTCATGGCTGAATAAAGCTTATCTAGTGCACATATTTTCTCCAAAGGACACATCACAGCCTTCTTGCACTTAGGAACACTAAACAACACTTTAACACTAGGCTTGGAGGTCCATTTAAACAGGAAAATCATCAGTAAGTTTGAAAAAACATGTTTTCGGCATGAGAGTTGAAACAATAAGGCAGAATGTTGCCTTGTTTGCCTTCAGTAGGAAACATGCACAGGGCAAACCAAATTCCTTGCTATCGATATAGTTCGATCAATATTCTGTTAGAATATAAAATATGATGACACGAAAGTGTTTAAAGGTAGGTAAGACATTTTATAGGGTATAACCTAGGATTTGGTGACATATCTATACTCTTCCTATACTCCATCCTTCAAGAAGAAAATTATATGTGTGAAAGCTGAAAATCATTCTGTGCCCAATAATAGAAGGATTTTAACCATTTAGGACTATCCAGGGTTAGGACTTTTATTCTCTGTATTGATCCCTAGAAAGGGAAGCTATTAAGGTACCACTTTGCACATAAAGGACTGATACCCCACTCATTCCCCTCTCTTTTCTGTTTCCCTTTTGTTAAAACAATGTCTCTCTCCCCCTATTCTGAAGTTTCACTTTCCATGGTTTCAGTTACCTATGGTCACTTATGCTTTGAAAAAATATTAAATGGAAAAATTCCAGAAATAATTCACAAATTTTAAATAAAGAAATCACAGTATATTGCTGTAATTATTTTATTTTATTATTGTTATTGTTAATGTCTTACCATGACTAATTTATAAAGTGAACTTTATCAGAGATATGCATGCATAGGAAGAAATATCAGGCACTCACTGGCTGACTGAATAAATCCCCCACAGATAAGGGGAACTGTTGAAGATGTCAGTACTTAGTAGAGTGAGGTGTGGATTACTGTTTGTAACTGACTGCTTAATGTTCAATGTTGACAACAATCTCTTCGACACATTTCCTCTCCCCCAGGTGTTGGATTCAATGATGGACAGTGGCATTCCATCTCCTTGTCTGCTAGAAGGAATCTGCTGAGTGTGGTGGTGGATGGCCATGTGACCTCTGCTGCTTCTTTTCTGGGGACTGAACAGATTTACTCAGGAGGCACCTATTATTTTGGAGGTAAGAAATGAGGTCAGGCCACATGATCAATTGGACTATATTTACATTTAGCACTCCTATGCCTTGGGAAAGCCCTCTTGCTTTAACCAGTACCAATATTAAGGAATAAGTTCTCTTTTTACACATGGAAATATCAATTGGATCAAGATGACAAATTCTGATGTATGATGCATTACTACCAAGCAGACTTACATACATTTACAATTTTTGTAATTTTAAATTGGCCACTTTCTACAGTTCTTAACCTCTAAACCTTGTTATATTGCCCTAATATTAAATGGTGCTTGTATGTCATTTTCTGATTTTAATGGGATGATTTATTGGACTGTTTTCCTGATCATGCATCTTAGCTCTTCTGTCACTCCTTATTGCTTTCCCACTAGCCAATGCAGAAGGTCAATATTACACCAGTGGACAAATAATTTAACTTAATTATCCATAGAAACCTCTTCTCTGTTGAGCGATAAAATACTGATACATCTGATGACTGCCAGACGTCTACCTTCAATGTCAGGCCATCTTCCTTGGAGAATGAGAACAAATGAAGCATTTTTTCCCTGCCTGGTGAATGTTTGATTGAACTGAAAGCTTGGAAAAGGAAACTTGGAAACGGGAAATGAATCTTTATCACTGGAAATTTAAGACAAAATGTTCTTTGCCATTAGAAATGCAGTTTCAAAACTGTTAGTAGTAAAACTTACTTCTAGCCAAGACATGGCATTTTTTATATTATCATTGTTTTGTCATCATTACATTATGATATAATAGTTGTTTCTGCCTAGACTCATTTTAAAATTGCAGGCAAGTAGCCCAGTCTTCATTATCCAACTATAAAACACAAATTATTTCCTAAGAATTATTAAGTACATAGCCCATGAATCAGTTCAGCAGAATTTATAAGCAAATGAATGAATGACAACCAAAAATCCTTCATAATCCAGTACGATGAAGGCATCAACAGGCCACAATCTTAAAAGAAACAATTGCTTCCTTTACTAAGACTTGTTCATTTCTCAGCCAGGTTGTTTCAGAACATACGATGGATTTTTATGGCTATTCCATAAGAACACATTCTTTTAATCAATACTGAGATATATAGAACTACTTAAACACGAGCTTTCGTTTCAAAGGAAAAAGATTTAGAAGCACTAAAAGAGATAAGCAAATAAATAAATAAATAAATAAATACAGGCATATTGTTAAGTGACAAAAAATAAAAAATAGAAGACTGGGATAAAAGTGTTTATAAATCATAAAAATAGAATCATTATTCTTGAAGTATTTTATATCCTTCATGTTCAGATTTAGCAATACTTAGCTATTTTATGCAGAGATTTTTTTCTTTAGTGATAGATTTCATTCACACTACTATATTTTATAGTAAAATATACCACATAGCTGTGGAATTTTTCTTTTTGTTATGATATACATGTTATTCTCTATATTATCCTAAAAATATTTTGAGTTTAATATTTATTGGAAAGTTGCAAAGGCATACAGAGATTTCCTGTATGCTTCATATCAAGTTTTCTTTTTGTTGACATCTTATGCCATCTGCACAGTTTAAGGAACACTAATAACGTTTTAAAAGTACACATCTTCACACGCATACCTCTGCATAGAAAGTATATACACGCTTGTCCTTGTGGAGTCATATACTTTGATCTCCCCAGATGAGCACTTTCCTGAATCTGGACTTTATTCCTCCATTTCTGTTCTTTATAATTTCACATCTATTTACAATATTCCTAAAAGATATACTGTAGAAGATTCCTCAATAAAATTCCCCTTCTGAGGCAGCATACCATTTCCAGGGCTGGGACCAGCCTTGTGCCTCCAGAGCCAGGTTGAGAAGGTCTGTCCTTCCTGAAGTCCTGCTCATTAGGGATTTTGGTCTAGAAATTCCAGATTCTGGGGCATTCAAGATAGAGGGTTCCTAGTGGGTCCAGCATCTTTTCCTCTGAGGCCTCCTGGGACCATGGGTAAAGGCATGTTTGGAGGAGGGCTGAGGTGGTGTTCCCTAAGGCCATGATTGGTTGGGTGCAACTGGCAGTGGGGTGACCAACTCTTCTGAATTTTAGCTGAAAGTCCTGTATGTCTCTGCAAGTCCTGAGAAATCTGTAACAGTCGATCACCATAGAAAATTTTTTTTTCTGTGTAGGTAAAAGTTTCTTTTATCACTGAGATCTGTTTTATCTTGACAGAGGTGGGTTTTAGGTGGACAATGCTTCACCCAGTTTATCTTCAAGTAAAAAAAAAAAAAAAAACTCATGTTCTAAGACACTTCCTATCCGTTCTCCTTGACTTCTCTTTGAATTCAACTGCTAGTTTCCAGCTATCTTATCAGAATAGGTCATTCTAACCTGGTTGCAAAGGATTGCACTCAAAGGATTGGTTCACTGCAAAGGATTGCTCTGCTGCAACAGCCTCGGTTCTGGCTTCACTCTTCACCATCTTCAGAATGACTGTCCTGTTGGGGGGAAGAAGGCTGCTCTTGAACCGGCATCACACTGTGTGCCACGTGAAACTTTCATTATTCATCTATCATCTTGTACTTTTTTTTCCTCCTCAAATTGTGCTTTTCAAAAAGTCAGACTGCATTGTGGTACATTGTGCCACATTTTATCATTTATGACTTACAAATTTTAACTCTGGGTTCTCCAGCTGGAGGATAGTTGAGTGTCTACTTGCTGTAAATTCCCCATGGCATCTTGGTGCTATGTGCAACACAAGTTGAGGATACTAAACTGTGTGCAGAATTCTCACACTCCTCCTCCTTGTGTAAAGCAAGCATTTTCCATCCAATGGCCAGCTACACCACCATGAAATCTAACGTGGCATCTTACTTCTGGTACAGTGACACATACAGTGATAATTTATCTGTCATCCTCAGAGGTGTTTAACATGCTGACTGCCTCTGGTAATGGATCCATCTATTAATTCAGCATTAAATATTCTCCAGAAATCTTCCTATTTTAGAATTTTAAGCTCACATGGATTCATGGCTGAACTTCTCTCTCGTGTTGCATTACATTAACTTGTGGCTGCCTCTTCAAAGACTAATGAGACTAACCTGGTTGAACCCTTCTTTGTTCTTAGAATTTCTTGCTTATTGAACATCGTAGTTAGGAATATGAAGTGCCTCTTGATCTGATCCTGGACTCACTGTACAGTTTCATGACCTTTCTTTGCGACCTTGAGTTTGTTTAGTTTTATTTCCTGTGGGCATGCTGCATGTTTCATTTTTTTCTGAAATAGTTTGAGCTATGTCAGGCAACACTACCTGGAGTGAAGGAGATTAGCAGAGCTCTTTCTATTTCTGGCATATCGTAGTTGTTCAATAATATTTTGAACTATCTTTCAATTTTATCTGACCATTCTTAACTGGTCAATATTGAAAACATATAGAGATCATAGTGACCATGTATTATAATACAGAAGAATTTTAAGCACTGGAACTGTATGCATTATTGTGTGCAACAAACTAATACTCAACATGCTTCAATTGCTTTTTCTTGATGTATTAAATATATATTTTAATGTGCCTGCTAATAGTTTTAAATAACACTGCCCTTTACTTTTGAAGTAAATGTATTTTGTTGGGAAAACAAATCAATAAGGGGAAAAAAAATCTTCAGCCAAATATTTAATTGTAATGGAAATTCCCAGGTAGAAAACTACCATTCAGGAATTGAGAAGTTGCTGATTCATTTATTATTCTTTGAAATTGTAATAGTGGTTGACAACCATAACAGCAAAGAAAGATTAATGGAAAATATGTAAGAATAATGTATGTGTTCAGACTCCATAAAATTATTTATTTCACTTGGATAAACATTTAGAACATCATTAAACTCAAACAATATTGGTTAACATTATATTTCTTTGTTACTTAAATAATTAGGACAAGTCTTTAATGTTAGCAAAAAATCAATAGAAAGGGAACATTCTTTTATGAGGCAAATAATAAGCAAATTCAAACAGTGAAACGTTTGTGGCATGTAGCTGTTTGTATTTATCCAATGCATGTATATGTGGCTCTTACATGCATAGGGAAATAAAGCAGTTAATTAGATAGATAGCTGGTAATTTTATTCCAAGTGAAGATGTTTCTTTTTTCAGATAGTCATCGTGAAATGCAAAAGCATTTCATCATTAGTATCTTTTCTTACCTCTTGTACACATTTCCATCCTTTCTGTTCTCAGTTTTCCACTATTAAAGATTAAGCTCCTGTGTTTCAGTTAAATAAAGTTTAATACTGCTGGCTGGCATGTTTAAGGTTTTAGAGGTAATATGTACAATTTTAAATTTGGATCAAATTAGTATAGTTGCACATAATTATTATAACACTAGTGACTTCCTAAGAATCCTACAGAAATTAAAAAATCACTTTGTGTGAATTTACAGTTTATAATTTAGATCAAACTAGTAATCACTGCAGTGGGTTTATTTCTCTCTTTTAATACAGAAGACGGGGGAATGGGAATATAACATCAGGTATTTGGTAAGGTACACTAGACCCATATGTAGAATTATCACAATGAAATCCCCTCTTATTTTTCATGTATGATAAGTAAGAAATGAAAAAAAATCATAAAAAGAGCAACTGAAAAGAGAAAGAAATTAATAAGAATATGAAATTTTGCTCTTAACTTTAATTTTTTCAAAAACCCCTTAAATTTCTGGAATGATCTTATCTGTGACTTATCCAAAAAAAAAAAAAGACCAAAATAAAATAAAAATAACAAAAAATACCGGAGGTAATCAAACATCCATTTCTTTTATTTTTGCTTAGTGAATTCTTCTACGATGCCAAAACTCAATGCATTCTAGCATACTTAGTTTTGCTTGGTTTGGTTTTATCAGGTTGTCCTGACAAAAGCTTTGGATCCAACTGTAAAAGCCCACTGGGTGGATTTCAGGGATGCATGAGACTTATATCCATCAACAACAAAGTGGTAGATCTGATTGCTGTCCAGCAGGGGTCCCTTGGGAACTTCAGTGACCTTCAGATAGACTCATGTGGCATCTCAGACAGGTAAGGACAATCTCACTTCTGCATTTTGACCTATTCAAACTTTTGATAGAAGATTAAACTTTATATATAAAATGAACATTTATTTTCTTCCTATCACATGTTGCACAGGAAACGGTTGCATTTACATCAGAAATAAGAAAAATACAGACAGCTAATGCCTTATGTAATGTATCTCAAATGATAAAATTTAGATACAAGAGATGTGACCACATTAATTATATGCACACATGGCACCAGTTCTCAAAAGATAATGTTGATGCTGCTATAATTTTAGATGGGTATGAATGTCTCAGAATGTCACTAAATTCAATAGGGTACCAAACTGTCACATTAATCATCAGGTATAATAAATCAGAGGCCTATGTGGTCTATTTTCAATCTGGCTTTTGCTGTCTTGTCAGTTAAGTAATATTTCCAGAGGTCATGGAACTTATTTAGTGCTATTCCAATGTGCGCCTTTCATAACCCATTACCATCTTCTCTGTAGGAACATGATGGGGTGGGGGTACTCCCCTGGAAATGGTAGGAGCCTTTGTATTGATCAGGGTCAGGATGACCCCAGAAGCTCAGTAGGAACATCAATACAGGACACAGCAAGACAAGATTTGGGAGTTAATTATAGAATAAATGACTTTAAAAATAATAACTAAGAATACTATGGGTACATGTTAAGAATATTACAGGTGCACGTCTGTAATCTCAGCTATTCAGAGGCTAAGCTAGGCTTCAGTCTAAGGCTGGCCCTGAGCAAAAACCAAAAGACTTATCTGAGGTCTCACATCAGGCACAAGCCTGCTGTGTGATGATGTCCACTCCAGTGACTTCGCAGTTAAAGCAGAAAGGGCTGGGGGCATGGCTCAAGCAGTAGAGTGCTTACTTTGCTGGTGCCCTCATTCAAAACCCCAGTATTGCCAAAAAAACAAAACAAAACAAAAAAACCCTAGAAACTCAGTAGACTGGGCAACTGTAATAGCCACACTTTTTAATCAAAGCTGCTAATTTTAATTACTGAGTTCAAAGGGATGTCATGTACATTACATATTTTTAAAAATCCCTAGATCAGGTGCTACACTGAGGACTGAATGAGTATTTAAATCAATCCTCACGAAATCCTTAGAACCCATCCTTAATAGTATTTGTTTCTTAGAAATATGGAAATAGACTCACAGAAAGGTTAGATTGCTAAGATGATGTGAATAGATAAATGCAGAACCTTGCCCCCAGACCAGCAAAGTCCCCTGAAATGTCTGGTCACCCTGCCTGGCAGCCCTGCCTGGGTACGAGTTAGCATTTATGGTGGTTAATATTTCACCCATGCATAATAAATGTATCACTTAATGGCTTAATAAATTATAATTAAAAGCAAGAAATAACGTTAAAAACATTAGAAATCTGTCAGGAACTTCAAGAATGTAGTGTTTTCTTTTTAATTGTAACTAACTTTAAGGTGTACATGCAAACACACATGTGCTCACTCACCCTTGTGTGGATGTTCACATATACTTGAATGTAGTCATTGCATGCAGTCTCTAACTCGTGTTCCCAGAACCCCTCACACACTCACACGTAATCCTTACATGCATTTACACAGCTCCTCATGCATACTTACACATGTGTACATATGCATATCTACAACCTCCTGACACACGCTCATAAGGTGGTTCCCATGTTCCTTACACTTATGCCTTCCTTGCACACAGTCGCTCATGTACACTCACTCATGGAGAAGCTGTCTGCTTGATCTGTGGACATGCAGGAAGGGGGCTGGTCCTAAGTCCAGGGACGCCAGTGACTGAGGGGTGAGGGAAGAACTACAGGAGCATCTGCTGTTCCTATCCCTATGTCTGGAACTGGAGCAGGGATGACAGGCATTAGGCCATAAATGCTGATTAAGTTGCTTGGAATTAATCCACTTACCATGTGAAAACTGTTAAGTATAACTTTTGATATCAAGTTTTTAAAGAATATCGACTGGAGAAGGTCACTAGCCACTGGTATCACCTGCTATTCCCTGAGTGTAGTAAGGCAGAGGCTGTGGTATGCAATCGGTCTCAAATGACAGGAGCCTGCTGTGATGATGATGTCCACTGCAGTGACCACACAGGCCCAGCACTTACCTCCTGGCCCTGGCTTTTATGCTGATGCTGTTCAAATTCATTTCACTGCCTGGTCCTTGGACTTGGGCAAAGTCCTTCATCCTACCATCTTTAGTCCAAGCCCATCCTTGTGCTTGTTCCAGGCTAGATTCTCTACCCTTAGTCCTCTACTCTCCTTGTCCTCTTCTCCACAGAGCCCTGCAAGCCTGCTCTTGTTCTTCCTCCCTCACACACCTTGGGGTTTAGTCCATTGACTTGAAGATCATGGTGTGATGCTACCTCCTGTCGTACTGAAAGTGTGGCTTTTTGGGGAGAGGTGGCATCGGGAATAGGTGGAGGGAGGGGATAGTTCTTGTCAATTATAATTTTGAACAAAGATATGAGATTTGAATTCTGGTGCTCACTATTATCCTAGGGCCTATAAAGTAACTAGTATTGTTTAATTTCCCTAAACGTCATCATGTTATATGGATTTTACTTCAATATCATTAATTTGATCAAACTTTACATTATGAAAGTCTTGAAATTTAAATTGTAACTGTTGGGAGAATTAGGCTAAATCAACCCAAATCTCTCCAGCCACTTCAGATTTGGGTATATTGATGGATATATTTGTTCAAGTCACAAGCAATGAAAATGATGGAAATGCTACAAGAAAGACTTAGAAGTTGGAGAAAATGGGTTGACGGATTGTCTTGCTCTGTTGAAATAAGTAGCAAGGGGAAAGTGTAAAATACAATAAATAGAACATTTGGTGAGAACACGTGTTTCCCTGTGCTCGTGTGAATTGCTGTAAGTTGCTAGCAGTCAAACGTTAGCATCTAATAAATTTAAATAAAATTCACAATTCAGTCTTTCACATTTTATTTAGAAATGTGAAGTCTAGCCTGACTAGAAAGAATCAAGAAAAATTGATTCAGTCAGTCTTTTAGAAGCAAGTCAAAAGCATGTGTTTCACATCAATTAAAGATTCATTCTTTTGGATTTTAGACAAGCCATTTATATTTGCTCCTTTTTTTTCTTTTAAAGGTTTGAGTTCTCTTTTTTTTCTGATGTGATAATCAACTAGGATGGCTACAATTTTAGCATTTAAAAATCTTCTTTTTCTAGATTGCTATTGGCTTAAATGCTTAAAAATTAAATAAATTATGATATAGTCTTTGAATGGATTCCTGCAAATCTATTAAAATGCTAAAATATATATAAAATTAATGGACATAGAAATATACCCAGTATTTTTTGGGGGGATCTTAATAAGAAGACTGTAAAGTAGCATTACTTTTGATGGCTTACAGTGGTAATTTCTAGATAGTGAGAGAATATGTTCTCTTTCTTCTTGTTTTTCAGATTGTTTGCTCTCAGTATAGTGAACATCTATTTTTTTCACAAGGAAAAATCAATAACATTATTTTCATTTACATTTAGAAAAAATCATAAAAATGAAACATGAAGTTCTCATTCTTAGTTTTATTAAAGAGGGTGGCAAAAAACTCCATCGTGAATATATTCTTGGCAGGTTTTGTAGTTTATTTGCTTTTTAATTTAAAATGAATGAGCTCATTGAAAGCCTTGGTCTTAATGTATTATTCATTCTAAATTCTAAAAGGCAGAAATAATCTGGTATGACCACTTGAGTCAGTACCATGCCAGAACTTCCCAAACCTCTTTGTTCATGGTGCTTTGCCTCTCTGTGTTATTTTAATTTTTTTTATGATAACTTTAAGTCAGATGATATCCTTGACACTTTCATTTAGAAAGTGGTGTAGGTCGAAACAACTTAATAAGGATTTATTTCTTAGTAACTGACAAACAATGCCAGTGCTGTGAGGCCATGTCTGTTATGTGATTGGTGTTCCTGGGAAGTAGTTTCCCATCCTCTCATGGACTGGGCAAAGAAATAATTCACAGTAGAAAGTTTTCTAAAGTAAATGCTCTAAGGCAAGGGAGGTCAGGAGCCCAAAGTTAGCAAGAAATCTCTTTAACATTTGGCCAAGCCGAAGGGGATGTGTGAGCTGAAAGCAGAAGGTCCCCAACTTTTTCTTACATGGTGCTTTATGCGTCTCAGAAATTTTTCACTGTGCCCCTAATCAAAAGATACAAATAACACTTTGATTTAAAAAGTGGTTTAAGTCCAAATGACTTGTGTGTTTATGTCCTACAACTTATGGCCCTTTGAAAAAACGATAGAAATCTAAAGAACTAAGGTGCCTCATGAGGACCATGGCTCACAAAATGGTACTGTAGTTGAGGTTCATACAAATGAGGAGATTTAAGCTGTCTTTTTGCCCCTAAAACAAACAATTATTGGGTAATTGGCTATGTAAGGTGACTGACATGTTAATTTGCTCCACTATAATAAATGTTTATTAGGGTATTTATCCCTAAACGTCTTGTTTTTTACCATAAATATATACAATAAATTGTTCTTAAAAGAGAAAACATGATACATATAATTTGAGAAACCATAATTTTAACTTTAAATTAAACACAGTTACTTAGTAATTGGATTATATACCTGTTGGGCACAGCACAACTATTTAAAACTTGGAATCAGATCAGACAGTGCCACACTCATTTTTGTTCTATGTTAATTTCTCATGGTACTCACTTTTGAAAAATCAGTTATTAAAAATCCTGCTTCTCAAAGACAGGTTGTGATTAAAAGGAATGTATTATGATCTCATGTTGAACCTGAGCTACCGCAAGCTAGTAAGTCATACTGTGTTTGACAGATGCTGATTATTTCTCTTGAAATTTTAAAATGACCTGGGAGCCCCCCCCTTGAGTTCGATTCAGCACTCTAGAGCACCCCAGCACAGCTGGGAATTCATGAGTCTGTACCATACGTGCTTCTATATTCCTGGATACATAAGCCAGGTGAATAAAGATATTCTTCCATCCCATTTTCTTCTTTCTTTCCCCTTTCTTTATTCCAACAATGTTGTAATTTAGTGTGATGAATTCAATGTGATAAAATGTTACTTTATGTAAGCCACTGATATCTCTGACTACATATTGAATTCTTAGTATGTCACGTAAGGAAAATAAAAGGCTCTGATGTAGTGAGACACGTTGAAGATTAAGCAGTCATTGCTAACTGAGAATTGGCTGAAATTAAGTGCATTTAATGGCCTAAGGTTTAGTTCTGTGATCACCTTAGTGCCAGACTGAATAACCATGTGTGTAAATAATCAGTATTTTGCAATACTAAAAATGACAAATGGGAGTTGTTTCTTTTCCTCTTTCAGGTGTTTGCCCAACTATTGTGAGCACGGTGGTGAGTGCTCCCAGTCCTGGAGCACCTTTCACTGTAACTGCACAAACACTGGCTACACGGGAGCAACCTGCCACAGCTGTAAGCTGAGCATGCCTTCTTTTTCACCTTTCTGTTGCTGTCTATGTGTGTGTCTGTGTGACCTTGTGTTCCACTGTACAACCCTGAAATTTAGCATCCTGTAGGTTTCTAGTTTGTTTTTATCCCACACCTCATTTATATATATAGCTATCTTTTTATAAAGTAGTCAAGGTACCTTACAGAAATACATAATATAAAACAAGGAAGAAAAAGGTGGGCAGAGCTGGCAAAAGGAAAACATGTACCAAAAACAAAAGAAAACTAGGGACAAAAATAAAATAAAATGTAGACTGCATGACCAACTTGTTCCAGAACTTGAATTGGGCCAGGGTTTAACTCTTAGGAGGCACAGTATAAGTGGAAACATGACCAGTCACCAACTCTTTACTATTAGTACGAGTGAATGAAGAGATTCTCAGAACAGTACTGGATGGACTACAGTGGAGTGGCTTGTGGTGTGGGGCTACAAATGTCCATGGAGACCAGATGTCTTAGTCCATTTGGGCATTTATAAGAAAGTACCATAGCCAGTGTGGCTTAGAAACAACAGAAATCTGTTTTTCACAGTTTGATGTCTGGATATCCAAGGTCATGGGGCCATTGATGTCTGGTTCATAGACTGCCACCTTCTTCCTCTATCTTGACAATGCCAGGAGTGAGGGAAATCTCTGGGGTACTATCTCCACCTTCATGACCTAATCACTTCCCAAGGCCCTATCTCCAAATACCATCACACTGGGAATTCAGTTTCAGCATGTGAATTTCTGGAGGGACACAAGCGTTCAGTCTATAGTCTTAGATAACATTAAAGTTCTCTTGTTTACTGAGGGTGATGGAGATTAGTATGGTAGGTAATTATTATATTAATCATAACAGTTTTCTTGAGTACTTTCTGAATGCCAGGTATTGATTCTGGTGACTGTCTTACTGTGTGTGTGTGTGGGGGGGTACTATTAATATCTCTAGTTAACATATAAAGTAATTAGAGAGGTACTAATAAATTTTCCCAAGGCTACTTAAATCATGGAGGCACAGTGAGGATGATTCAGAGCCTAGGAGCATAAACAATTCCCTTTTCCTATATTATAAATCATGTGTTGTTTCTGATGAAAAGCTTACACATGTTATAAGACTTATGTCATTTTATTGTCTACTTGTTCAGTACATGTAATGGGGTAACCAAAATGCCCATCTCCCCCACCCACTTTTCCATTTTATTATTCGATTTCTGAGCAACTTAATTCTACTACTATCTTATTTAGCCTTGGCTTAAGGCACAAGGGTTAAATGCAGAGTCACCAGACTCACCAACCTAGGTCTACGACATTGCACATTGCTTTGTGTTCCTCTCAGAGTAGAGGTTGGAATCCTGGGCTCCTAGCCTTAACCCACCCCCACATCCCCACAGAGGACCCTGAGAATCCCCAGTTTGGGGCTGGAGAGGAGAAAGCCTAGAGAATTGTGCGGCCTCATCTTGGCAGCCAGTCGTTACTAGGTACCAGTTGTCTGGATTGGAAAATCTTGGGAGATTCTACAAAGAGTGTTTGCTGCTGCTAAAGTCTGTTACCAGAGGCCAAATTACTCAACTCATGTCACCCAGCTGGTGGAGGGACAGCATATTTTAATCTTCATATCCTCTACTATCCTCATTATAATAACTAATTCAAACCTGAAAGCTCTTAAATGTATTTTAATTGGCTATTCATTTTTAATTATTGCCAATGACAAAACTAAATATAAACACAAACAACTCAGAGGAAAAAAACTGGATAATAAATAAAAAAGTATTTTGATTCATGGCTGGCAGCTTATTCAATACTGGATTTATTAGGTTCTTGAGTGGGTTGTCCAAATGGAGATAAAGGTTTTTTTTTTTTTTCCAATAACATTGTGAGAAATGAGGCCAGAATGGCAGACCTGGTTATAATGGAGAGGTAGAGACAGTCTTTTTAAAAAATTTTTTTAGAATCCTAGTACTTGGGGGTCTAAGGCAGGAGGATTGTGGGTTCCAGGCCAACTTGGGCTATATAATGAGACCCTGTCTGGAAAAAAAGCAGTTCTGTTAGGAAATAATACATTGAACAGTCATGTTATGAAAATCAACAAAACACAGAAGGCAAAAGAAAGGTCATCCAATCATGAGTCCGTTTTAGTGTTCATCTCCATCCCAGAGTTGTGTGTATATTCTGCCAACCTCTTATGGACAGATGTGTGAGCTTATAGAAATTAATAAACTAACCAATTTATGTGACCACTTCAGTACACAAAATGCAAATGTAACTGGAAAACAATCCATGCTTATATTTCCATCTATGTAATATATAATAACAATGAAATAAAACCATCAGATTCTAGAGAAGTGGGAGAAGCACATTTCTGTGATTATTTGAAATTTTTGTAACATTGAACAAATTAGCCACAAATGTTTCATGTTGCCTAAACATTCATTAACGTAATTTTCAAAAACTTAAATTCAGTGGAAGATACCTGGGGGGTTGTTTATTTCAAATTTCACAGAATAAAAGGCTTAATGGAAGTTACAAGTTCATTTGGCCAAGCATTCAGTGAGAAGTGTGGACTATACAGATGCTAATATCAAACCTTATGTATGGCAAATATATACTTGTATAATAAAAAACATTCCATTATGGAGCAAAACACATTGAGATCACTTACAGGCGACTCCATATAAATATTTCTTCTGCTTTGAATTTTAATTATATTAAAGGGTCATTACAGAGCACTAAAGAAATTTGCTTTTGTAAATTATTTTAAAATTATTGATGAGGAGTCTTGTGAAGGAAAGCATTTACCTATAGTTAATTTTATATGAAAAAGGAGTGTAGTTCAAACATTATTTAAAATGTTTCTGCTGCATAATTATTGGATAAGAGTAGCAGATTATTTAAGGAGGTTACACTATTGTGCTTCAGATGTTAGGTTATTACAATGTATAGTAGAATTAGAAACTGCAAAATGAATGTCATAAGATATCACATTATACTTACAAGGGTTTTAACATTTAAACACTTGCCTTTTCTTTCCTTGTTCTTCCTAATGTAAAAAATAAGCTCAATTTTCATTTTGATCTCATTTTCCATTAATGATAAAAATAGTCACAAAACAGACTCATTATTCTTTTTTCCTCTGTTTTACCATTTTCACTCATATTAATTTGAAAAGAAAAGAAGAATGAATTTTGTTTTAAGGTTTAAGTTTTACTTTTTCTCTTGGTTAGTGATGTGCTTACTAACTTTTAAGACGAAGTATATTGTGCCCAAATTAAAATTTAAGATTTTTGTTTCATACCATTTCATTTAGGAACAACAAGAAAAAGTTGAATATCTTTTTTCTACTTTTTTACAGCTATCTATGAGCAGTCATGTGAAGCCTATAAACATAGAGGAAATACTTCAGGGTTTTACTACGTAGATTCAGATGGAAGTGGTCCTCTGGGGCCATTTCTCCTCTATTGCAATATGACCGGTAAGTTAACCAACTTTTGTTTAATAGCTAAATTTGCATGAAGGCATTAAGTACACAAATTAAAATGAGATAAGTAGAAAGTTGATCTAATTTACGACATGATTAAGCAGAACATTGTTCTGTTAAAAAGGAACATACAGCTTTAAAAATTAGTTAAATATTAATGACTTAAAATGTGATTTTCTAGACAGGTGGTATCTGTGTAGAATATCTAATAGTAAGAGTTTCCTAGTATGTCCCCCAAAAAGAGAGTTTATTTGTCAGATTGATTCATGTGAAAGTTTTGAAGATTTACTTTTTTAAATGAATATAAACATGAAGTTCACGTATAGTCTAGAATTCTTTACTTACATAAGTTCATATAAAAATTAACAGTCATGGAAAATACGTTTGATTAAATTCACCACCAAAAAAAGAACTCAATAAATTACCAGCCATGAAAATTAATTTGGTAAAGAGTACCACCAAAAACTTATAGCATAGTACAGTGCCTGCCTAGCATCCATGAGGTCCTGAGGTCTACCCCCACAACCACCAAAAAAAAAAAAAACCCAAAATCCAAAACATGAAAAACAAAAATGGACACCATATGTAGCAGTTTATGGTGATATATTAGAAAGGTTTCTCCTGTTATCAGTATTAATATCACTCTGTCCTTCAGAGTATTGGAGGTCCTAGTCAGTGCATAAAGCAAAACAAAGAAATAGAATATAAATACTGGAAGGAAGACCTATAATTTCATTGTTTGTAGATGACTAGGTGTAGTAAATATACTCTAAGCAATTTATAGTAAATTGTTACTGTTTAGGATTACCCTGTTAATTAACATAGATTAATCTTATTTACATACATCAGCAATAAAGCAATCAGAAAATAGCCTTTTAAGAAGATGCTATTTTCGATAGCATCAAAATCTAAAACACATGGTAATAAATGTAATGAAATATCCCAGGCTTCTACACAGATAAATATGAAAGGCTCTTTAAATCAATTAAAATCCTAAATAAATCGAGGAATATAAATTCTCGTTAATTAGAAGACTCAACATTGTATAATGTCAATTCTTCCAAACTTGATATTGATTAGTACAAACCTAAATTAAAATTTAATCAGGGGTTTGTTTCAAAGTTGGTGTGATTACTTTGGTGAAAGTAATAACAAGCAGATCCTAAAACTTATGAACAAATGTGAAGGAATAAGAGCTAAGTTAATCTTCAAGAACAGATTTGAAAGATTCAGTTCTATCAGATATAAATATACTAAGGAAACAAAATAGACAACCTATAAATAGATACGTACGGACACACATAGACACATAATATATATATATATATATATATATATATATATATATATATACATATATATATAAATTGATTTTTTACCAAGGCAGTATTGATGTTCATTGAAAGAAGTTCTTTTTATCCATTGGCACTGGGGAGAAATTGATTACAAATGTCAACAAAAGGAATATTGACCCTTTTCTGACCAATCACAAGAAAATTAAATTCTAAATGAACTTTGACTTCCAATATGATAGCATTAGCAACAAGTATTGGTTTAAGTTCTAGTTTAATTAAAATTAATTTTAAGATTAAATGAATTTAAATTTAATTTAGAAACTCAAAGTTAAATTTAAATAATTTAATTTAAATAAGATTTAAGCATGGATTTCCCGTCTCCTTGGACACATTTTAATTGCTCCATCACTTCCTTTGGCTACTGGTTTAGATACTTCCATCACTGAAAGAAGTTATACTGGACAATGCTTTGTTAGGGAGTCCAAGTGTATAGAGCAAAACAAAATGAACAGGGCAATATAAAATTGAGATAGGCGGTATTGCAGAAGAGAATTATCTAGTAAAAACCTGTGAGTGAATATCTAGAGAAAGAATCTTCTAGACAGAGGCATTAGTAAGTGCTAAGTCCTGAGACAGGTGGTCTTGCTGGGTGTCTTCAGAAAACAGCTGTAAATCCAAGGTAAATGGAGTTTGGAGAATAAGTGAGAGTCGTAAGGTAGAAGGAAAGAGTTAAGTAGGGAGCAGAGACTGGAAGAGTCATGAGGTTCTTACAGCAATGTTGTAAGGTCTTTGATTTCTGCTCTGAATGGATGAGAAGACACTGGAGAGTTTTGAGCCATGGTGGGATACAAGCTGACTTCCTCTTATAGGATCACAGCAACTGTGTTGGGAAATGGTGCCAGGAGCAGAAGTGGAAAGGAGCTAGGATACTATATAGACAGAGTAGGAGTTAGGAGATTCTGAGAATTAGATGTCTCAAGTTGATAAATATCTCTAGTCTTTGAAGCTTTAAGAAACACACACACACACACTTCTCATTTGTGCAGGCTATGTTCCATCAAGTTACCATGGACACTGGATTAGTCAGGATTAGGGATTAGTAAAATTAAGTTCTTGAGAACCTCTAATGACAACTTTTCCATCAATCAATCAATACTTGCTGTAGGTATGTTTCAGGTTAAAGACATTTTATTTAGTGTGTGTGTGTGTTTCATTAACCTTGAACTCATGGCCAACAGCATTGTCACACCCAACTGAACAGTGCTTATCTGACACGTGTTTTCTCCACATGGCACATCATGACCTTCTGTGCTTAGAGACGCTACCCAGTACCTCAGCAGCATTAGGGTTGCATTTTAGACGGCAAAACCATCGGACTAGAGCACAGAGCTGAGAAAAACGTGGCACTGTACAGGCCATAAATAGGACATTTGTTTCCAATATGAGAGCTGAAACTGGAGACAGATGACAGCATCTGCTCATTCAGCTTTAGCTGAGAATGTGCATAGTGGGTACTTGAAGTTTTGCTGCTCTGTGCATGTCTGCAAATGACTCCAGAAGTGGTGGGGTTGTTACTAAATTTTAGCACGTAGGCAAATCCACACATAATGTGGATCTACAAATAGCAAGGGCCATCTATCTGTCATCTATCTATCTATCATCTCTCTATCTATCATCTATCTATCATCTATCTATCTATCTATCTATCTATGTATCTATCTACCATCTATCTTTTATGTTTATTCTAGATAATAATTTAGTGAGGTATAGATAGGCCTTATGTAACTATGGCATTGTACCTGCAAGATGCTGAGGTCAGAGACACAGGTATTCAAGAGTAGCTACATATTTCTAGAAGCTCTAGAATATTGAAACATGGTTAAACAAAAGTGATAACCACAGTGTGTAATAACCGAGTGAGGAACACTCTTCTCATTCATCTGATTTTTCAAATGATGCAACAAAGACTCAGAAGTCTAGCTACAGCAGGCTGATAGGATCAGAATGAGGGGCCAAGAAGAGAAACCTTGATCTCTTTTCTCACAGTCTGATGCTGTCTCCACTAGATAGGGCTACTTTAATGTCCCACTATGTATCTCTTCCAGTTATCCAGACTAGGTATAACAATTATGAAACCAAGGCAAAATGCTGAATCAGTATCTTGCAAATGTGTGACTTAAAAAAAAAAAAAAAACCAAAACTCTAAGTCTAGAATCAGTGTCAAGTGATTCCACATGGATTAAAATAACTCTTAAGTATTGCAAAGTAAATGATATGAACAAACAAACTAAAATCTCTACTTTGGATAATGTCCTAAACTATGTTAGAGACTGAAATTTCTTTGTAAATTGAGTATTGTAAATATAATGTACATATAATTAGTCAGGATAAGATGAATCCTGGTGGGGGTCCCTATTTGGCAGAGTGTCATTTTCTTTCTATTCTAAACTCATTGCTTTTTTTCTATAATGCAATAGTTTGATGTTCAAGAAGCTTCTCATTAACAAGCATTATCTTATAAGGAGGATTGCATTGGTGAGGAGAAATTGATGAGCACCAGAGAAGTGGTTTTCAAACTTTTGTGGAAATGGAAATTCTATGCATTCAACTGACCTCTTCCTACCACACCATTACTGAGATTCCTGGGCTTAATTTCCCTGACTCAGTAAGTTTAGAGACAAGGCCTGAGTCCCTGCATTATTAACAAACACCCTGATGTGATTCTAGCCTAAGATATATTTGCAATGTCTTAGAAAAGTAGCGTAATTATTTGTACTATAGAGATGTCAGTGATAACGTCTTGTTAAAAGCTATGAAGGTTAGTAACCAACTAATTATTCAAGGGCAGATGTGTTGACCACAAGCTTTGCTCTGGAATGTCCTCCCCTTTCATCCTGCCCATTTTGCTTTCCTTAACACAGCACTTCCTACCTGCTCTTCCAAGTCTTTATCACATCTGTCACCCTCAGCTATTAAACTCAAAGCAGCACAGCTTTGCAACAGTGTTGCTTGAACACCATGGTTTTTCTTTACACTGTTGTCACACTAAAAAATAGCAGTCAGCCTGAGGTAAATCAAGTTCTTAATTACTCAGTAGCTTTATTTACAATTTATATTATTAGAACTCTCTTCAGGGAGAGACACCAGCAAACCCAAATTACCATTCTATTTTTTAAACTTCATAGATTTTTCTGCCTATTTCAGCAATCTCTTTTTATTCATTTCCCCACGTCTCCTTACCCTACAATTCTTGTTGCATTTAGTAAGGAGTAATTTTCAAGTAAGTAAAATCATGACTCTCATACAGATATAAAGGTAACTGCTAAAAATGCATTTGAAAAGATTTTGTATAGTACATTCTTAATGAAGAAATTGGTAAGCTGTTAAAACCTGTTCAAAGGTGGGAGCCAAAGAACAGACACATCTATACTTCAGGAATAGTGAAACGAATATTTATTTTATTGTTGTGCTGGGTGGGAGTACATTGAAGCATTTACAAAAGTTATTGCAATAGAGTAAATATACTTGAATTCACCCCCTCTGCCATTCTCCTTTACCTCCTCCCATTCCTTAATCGTTTCAACAAGTATCATTTTTCCTTTTACATACATGTGTACACAGTATTTGTACTATATTCACACTCCCACATCCTTTCCCCAAATCTTCCCCCAACCCACTGATAAAGTCCCCTCCCCCCACCCCCCATCCACCCTTTTGCAGGAACTGTTCCTCCTCCTGCTTTCCGATTTTGTAAAGAATAAGAAAATGACATTTTTGTTTGTTTAAGATATTTAGAGAGAGGCATCCCTGGTCTATTCCACAGTGGAAGAGGGAAGTCAAAACAACCTCTATCAGATAGGAGTTGCTTGTCCCGACAAGTACTCATGTATGAAAACGGAAAAATGAGACCTGTTGAAACTGTTCCAGGAATGGGGGGTGTGGGAGATAAAAGAGAATGATGGAGGGGTGAATTTTAAGTATGATATAGTGTAATTTTTTTTGTAAATGTCACAATGTATCCCCAGTACAATAATAATATGATAATAAAAAACCCAGAAATTACTAATAACTTGTAAAGAACAGTGCTTTTCTTTCCAAGCAACAAACTAACAACAACAAAAAAGAAGCAAAGCCAAGTAAACAAATAAAACAACAAAAAATTGGAATAACTTAGGTTGAAGGATGATTAAATGTAGCTATGTATTGGAAGTTAAAGATAGTAAATTGCTTTCCAGAGATTTAAAAAGCTTATCTCCTGCAAATGCATTTGCTCACTTTGTAAGAGTAATTAAAATCTTAGGATTTGTTAGATTCCAGAACCAAAGTCTGTCTCACTTTATGGAAGGGTCGATGGGTGCCAGCCTCCTTCTAGAGCCTCTAGAAGCTCTGAGCCTCACAATTTGGCGTTCTTGTCTCTGGCATAACTAGATGCCCAATAGTATCTGGTTTGCAGTGTATCTGCTTGTGGGGATCCGGGGTATGAGGAACCACAGGTGCTAAAATTCCCTGTGAGTAAATGGTCCCTGATCTGAAGCTCCTCTGTGTCTGTTAGGACAGATGGGTAAGTAGGTAGACAGATACAGAGATGAAGGTAGATATCTATATATGTGGCATAATTTGTTAGCTTGAAGTAGAGTGACATCACAGATCCTTTATAGTTTTAGATTTAGCATTATTTTGCAATCTTATCAGTTATCTATAATTTAGAGTTATAAAACCACTGAAAGGCAATGAAAGTTTCAAAGCTGCCATAGATAAGAGTAAGATAACCTGAAACATTGTACTCTAATCTACACTGTACTTTTGTTTTAGTCACTCATTTATTTGCTTATTTCCTCATTTCTCCAACACGTCTTCTGCATGTGGTACCAAGCTATGTATTGGGGACATCATGGTTAGAACATCAGAAACGTTCTCTGATCTCAGAGTGAGAGAACAAATGACAAACTGTCGCAATGCAAATTGTGAGGAAGGCTTTGCTTTTGTGGTTATTATTTCTGAACAGGTGTTTGCATAAACCTCAGCAAACACAATCATGTCTGAAAGAGCAGGAAAGAGACTCTAGGCTGAGTTTCCACATTTCCCCATTAATCCAGGGAATTCAGAATCTAGCTTCAGGGGGTACCCACTTCCGTTGAGATGATTTCATTGCGTCTGCTCTGCCCAGAAATCTAGGTGGTCTGATAACTTCATACTTTGTTACACTTTTTATTAGATTATAAAATTACTTATAGAAACTATCATAATATTGAAACATTTCAAAATTTCAAGGGAAACATTTATGTCCTTTGTCCTCCTTCAGTGGTTGTCATGCACAGTGGCCTTGGATCTCATAACATCTAAAAAACCCTTTAGAATCATTTGTTAATTGTGATCTAGTGGATGCTGAATTATAGGGAAGTCCTTCTCAGTGTGACCCAAAAGGCACAGAGACAAAGACTTCAAGCAGGTCCATTGTCTTGCTCTTTTGGCAGCTGCTCAGCCAGAGTTAAGCTTCCTCATTCATTTCACTGATTTGCCACAAGACAAAGGGAATAGTTCTGCCACACAGGAGAAGCAGAGTCCAACAGAGCTTTGGCTGACAAATTTCCCTGGTTAATAATAACCTTAAACTTCCAATACCCATGGTTGGGTTGGCTAAAATTATAGAATTTCTGACCTACTCTCTTACCGAGTTCTAGCAATTTATTTTCCAAATCTGGAAATGGGTTCTTAGGTTTCACTTGGCTTTCCTAAGGGCACAGATCAATGCCAGATTTCCAATCACATCTCCTGATGGCCTCTATCCTGTCCTGCTGGCCACCCATAATTAATTACATTAGCTTATAGATAGTGTCCTTTTGGAGAAAAACATCCTGCTGATAGAGCTCTAGGGCGAGCTGAAATACAAGGGAGAAAGACAAGTTCCACCTATTGTTTCACAGGAAAAAATAGTGACCCCCGCATAGACGGCAATAAGACTGCCAAGTTCTTTTCCTTTCTTCTCTAACCTGACCTCTCTTTCTGATAACCCAGAAAGGGTTGGATGCAAAAATTTGCAAGGTCAACTGGTCAACCTCCTTATCTTGTTTATTTCATTGATCCCTATTCATGTATTAGCTAAAAAAGTGAGGAGGGAGGAGTTCTATCATCTGTTACGATTTTCCTCCAATTTGGCACATTTCTCTGTGACACAGAAGAGTTATTGACTTAACAGCACAAAATTAGGACAGTTTGATTATTTCCAGTCTGTTTCTTACCTATTAAATTGAAGGACTTTTGTTTAATCTGTTCTTGTGCCTGCATCTGTGAGAGCAAATAGAGTATTCAAAGGAAAAGTTGAAGGATAGATACAATCCAGCCATCTTCTTTTACGAACATTGTAAGATTTTTATTTCAACTAAGTAAGTTTGGTAGTCAGTATGATGGAAATGTTTATGGACATTCTTGTACTAGTAGTGAAAACTTCTAGTGGATTACTCAAATATGCTTTATTTTTTGTGTGCTATTTAAATTGCTGATGCTGTATCAGATGTGTTCAATTCAAAAGACTAACTTCCTCTTGCATTGCCAAGCTGTACAGATCATATGGTACCAGAATGAATATTTGCAAGTTTGATTTAAAAATAACTAGATGTATACTCATAATTAAGTGTTGACAAGAGACATAAAAAGAACTTTCCTTTTGCTGGCAACATGTACTTTCTAAGAGTAAAAGAGTCATTGCTTATATTATGAAATATAAAACATTTCCTTAACTCTAATGGGCTTTTTACACTGTAACATCACTGAATTCTTGGTGCATCCAGTCAATGTTTTGCAGTTTTAATAGGTAGCATTCTTTTCTTTCTTTAAGGAAAATCAAATAATGATGTCTTTGAAAAGAATATTAGACTTGATGAATTATTTTTATATAAAAATTTATTTTTATAAAAACTTTATATAAAACTTATTTTTATATGATATATTAAAATTTAATAATCATATTTCCTAACATTTTTATCATGAAAAAGTAAAACAAAATCACTGCAAATGCATGGTGTTAGTATACAATTTAGGGAAAAGAGGCACTTTACTATAATTGAAACTTTTTGCGAATCCATTTGTATTGCTTCAATCTCTCAAAGAGGTTTGATGACTAGAAAAGTTTGGCTCAGATAAAAGGTGATTTTGATTTTCTTTATTTATTTTAACTTTTGCAGACTAGTGATGGTCTCCTCTCTTTCTTCCCCCATTTCTGCATACAAGAAACTGCATGGACCATCATACAGCACAATGGCTCTGACTTAACAAGAGTCAGGAATACTCATCCAGAGAACCCATACGCTGGGGTTTTTGAGTATGAGGCCAGTGTGGAGCAACTCCAGGCCACAATCAACCGTGCAGAGCATTGCAAACAAGAGCTTGCTTATTACTGCAAGAAGTCACGGCTTATAAATCAGCAAGGTAGGTAAACTGAGGCATGTTGCACTGCCCTCAGTGCACACTGTGCTTCTCAACCAGCTCCTAAGGATTTTAATTCTACTGAGGTGCTGAGGACCTGCCTACTTAGCAAACATGTCACAGTCTGGAAGTAACAGAGATGCTTTTGCCTGGAGAAAAGAACAAGGTCAATTTACATTGAGCTTTGTTCAAAGTCTTGATTGCTTTCAGACTCTCATCCTGGCCTTAATCGGCTAACTGTGCAGTAAAGGCTTCATTCTGATACTCAATAAATGAATGCACAGTGTTTATCCTTATAAAAGGCAAGCAACACATACGGTTTGTTTTATTGTGGACAGGAGCTAATACAGATAGGGTCTGGTTTTCTGAAAGTGACTATTCTGTGTGGCTCTTTTTTCATGAATTGTTGGCAGTTAGCTTCTGGGTATAATTGAAAATTAGAAAAAGCTGCTAGAAACAGTTGATTGAGTAGCTCAAGCAGGAATGACAAAATCATCTTAACCCTTTCTTGTATTCTAGTAAGAACCAGTCTTCTAGATTCTGCTTTGGGCTTTATGCTTTCTCCCTTTCGCACACCTCATGATGGCAGAGGAGCTCAGGCCTCTTCTGCCTTCATGACCTCATTCTTTTTTTTTTTTTTTTGAAGGTTTTTAATTTTTTTTTATTTTTCTTTTATTATTCATATGTGCTACAAGGCTTGGGTCATTTCTCCCCCCTGCCCCCACCCCCTCCCTTACCACCCACTCCCCTCCTCCCTCTCCCCCCTCAATACCCAGCAGAAACTATTTTGCCCTTATTTCTAATTTTGTTGAAGAGAGAGTATAAGCAATAATAGGAAGGAACAAGGGTTTTTGCTGGTTGAGATAAGGATAGCTATACAGGGCATTGACTCACATTGATTTCCTGTGCGTGGGTGTTACCTTCTAGGTTAATTCTTTTTGATCTAACCTTTTCTCTAGTTCCTGGTCCCCTTTTCCTATTGGCCTCAGTTGCTTTTAAGGTATCTGGTTTAGTTTCTCTGCGTTAAGGGCAACAAATGCTAGCTAGTTTTTTAGGTGTCATGACCTCATTCTTGAAGTGAATCAAGAGCCTTCCTGCTGACCCCCAGTGTACCATCTCTCCATATCATCTCACCATCCAATATATAATCCGAAATATTCATCCTTATGAAGAAAATTAACCCCTAAGAACCACTGCTTCCACCATGGCAGTCTTCTCTTGAAGGTGATTCTACTGCCTTTGTTACTTGTCTGTCTAGTACAGACTCTTTCTCCTTGGTTCAGGATGACACACTCTGCACCCATCTGCTTACGTGACCTCTATGAGGCTCCCCTGTGCACTGTCTTCTGGTAATGGTATCGGGGAATATTTTTTTCCTTGAGAACTTAGAGTATTTTAAGACATCTGCACAATAAAGCCAGTTTGTTAATCTTTACTCTCACTTGTTATTCTAAGATGGGTTGAAATGCCAGGTAGATTGATACAAATTTAAAAAGAAACATGTTTCATGTGAATATCATATGTCCTATGGATCATCCACAAAGAGGAAAAGCTGATGGTCTGACATTTGACCTTCCATTTCCAATAAAGCATCTCTCTTACTTACTCCCCATCTTCTTAATTCAAGATTATTTTTTTCAAATATCCAAGCTCCCCACTCTTTTTCATCTTTTTCAGAATGTCCTGATTTGGCCTTTTGTCTCTTGAATTCTTGCTGATCCTAACTCAAATCTCATTCCCCCTGAAAATTCAATCCTATCTATGAATGAGGTCTAGACAGTTGTAGTGGGAAAATTATTACATCTATAGAGAGGGTAAGAGCTAATTTCAATTTCAGGTCTCTCATTTTCTAGGTATAGAACTTTATGGATGAATCTTTGATATATTAAATGAATGAATTGATCCATGATGAATCTCTGTCTTTGTCTTCTCTTCTCGGAGAAGGTGCCAATAATTCCAGCCTCACTGGGCTGTGGTGGCAGTTAGATGCTTTAACACATACAAAGAGCAGGAAATTAGTCCCTTTCAAGTTCCATTCTTTAGGGCACTGTGATTTCAGTTAACATACCATGTTTAATGTGCAACTGATTATTCATTGTTACTGAATAGTTATCTTATTTTACTTAGCATAATGTTCTCTCGTTCACCCTTGACACAAATGGCAGCATTTCCTTCATTTTAAAAACTGAATGATAGCCAGGTACCAATGGATGACACCTATAATCCTAGCTATGTAGATTGGGAGGATCGTGGTTCCAAGTCAATCCAGGCAAAATAGTTTGTGAGATGCCATCTCAATAGAAAACCTTGGGTGTGGTGGTACACTCCTGTCATCCCAGTGATAGAAGGATGTAAAATAGGAAGATTACTATCCAGACTGGCCCAAGCAAAAAGCAAGACCCTAACTCCAAATAACCAGAGCAAAAAGGGCTTGTGGCATGGTTTAACAGTAGAACTCCTGCCTATCAAGCATGAAGCCCTGAGTTCAAACCCAAGTACTGCCACAAAACAAGCTGAATGATAACTCCATTGTAGATATAGCACATTTTCTTTATCTATTCATCTGTCAGCGGACACTTAGGTTGTTTCTGTGTCTTGGCTGTTCTGAATAATGCTGCAATGATTATGGGAATTTCTTTGAGACAAACACAGAAAGACAAATGCTGCATCACCCCAGTTGTATGTGGAATCTATGAAAGTTAGGGGAAAATAAAAGAAAACAATACAGAAAAAAAACCCCACAAAGGTCATGAAAGTAAAAGTAGGTGTACTAGGGAGGAGGAAAAGAAATAGAAGGGGGTGAGGGCAAGGGATAAGAAAGAGTGATAGAGGGGAGAATGCAATTAGCATATTATGTACATGTTTGGAATGTCCTGGGAAAACTTCTTACTGTGTGAAATTTAATATGCACTACAAAAAGTTGAACTTATAGAAACAGAGAGCAAAAGAGTCGCTACTGTGGGCTGGAGGTGGAGGATGTGGAGATGTTGGTCAAAGAGTGCAGACTTGCAGTTACAAGATGAATATGTTCTGAAGGCTTAGTGTATGTGGTGATGACAGTTAATAATAATGGTATATTGTACACCTGAAATTTGCTAGAAGAGATACACACACACACACACACGTAGTTAACTATGTGAAGTGAAAGATAAGATAACTAGCTTTATTACCTACATCAAAAAATCACAGGACAATTTTTATTCATCAATTTTGCCTACATAAAACTGAAAAATGAAACAAATGGAAAGATGATCGTAAAAGGGACAAATAAGTTAAACACTAATAGAGCCAAAAAATGATAATCCCAAGGAGACAGTGAGAAAGCACTACCCAAAGCAAAGGGGGATGAACACTGCCTTCGTGGCCATTGGTGCCTGGGAAACTGCCAACGTATTTCAGCCAGGTGGTGACACACTGGTAAAGAAAACAGTGAACTCCAGAATGCTGTGGGACAAGGATGACGATAACTGATAATTGATAATGATAGATTTTCTCAGGTCAATGACCCTAGAATTCATATAGAATAGATTTGATGTGGGCAGATTGCAAAGACAGAGAACAATTTAGATTCTGAGGTCACAAAAAGAAATAAAAGGAAAGTTTTAGATCTTAATGAATTAGCAGTTTCAAGTGGCAGTCTTGCCATAGCTGTGGATGAATAAGAGGAAATGTTAGGATTGCATGTTTTCAGAAACTGGGAGTCGGTGACTCAGCATCCTAGAAGGATGACACGGAAATATTCAGCTCGATTAGGATGGGAGGTGGAATGCTGTACCCATGATCATTGGTATTTTTTTATCTTGAGTTTTCATTTTTACTTCTCATGAGTTTTAACATTCATTCTCATGCTTACTTATTTAGTTATTCTTTAAAAAATCTTAGATTAAACCAAAGGTACTTGGTACCTTTAAAACACTGAGTGATTTCTGTTTTATAGAGATCAGAAATTTAAGTGCAAAAATATGATTTAGTATTTAGAAAAAATTATTTGTTTTTCTATTTGGTCTGTGAACATGTAATGTCTCAAGCATTTTTTAAAATATATGTAGTGAATGTTTCAAATAGGCTTAACTTTTTAGTAATGAGTTAATTGTGCAAGTAAAAAGAAAGATGAAGATTCTTGATATTAATTGCTTTCTGCATAATAGAAGCTTCTGATATTCCTTGATCTTCCTTCCTCCCTCCCTCTTTTCCTTTCTTTCTAACATAGCTTAACTGGCATTTGTAGTAATGCTGGGAGAGAGATTGTTAGCATCAACACAGGGATTATCTAATAGTAAGTTAAAATAAGCATCAACATTTGTAAGTAAGGATGAAATTAGCAAAAGCCCCAGATTCTCAGTGGACTTATGGCAATAACTTAAAGGTTTCACAGAAAAATAATCAGGCATCTCCAAGGAGCTGACTTATTTGATGTCACTTCCATTCTTCTCTTGCACCGATTCTCAGATGACTGTGATTTTCCCTCTGAACTTAATTTTTTTCTAAGATAGATTGCCTTCATGCCTCACCTTACTTCCTACAAATCCTTGCCTAAATGTTCTGTCTCTTCTTAGCTTGAATTCCTTGCCATCATGTTTAGTCTTAACTCTGAGAAGTAGCTAGTAGCTGAACATTTATCGTAGAAAGAAATGCATTTGGCTAAAGGAAACTTTTTTTTAGTGTAGTATTTGCCTCAGGCATGAAGATCTTTCAGGATTATTTCTGTCATCTCCAAATAAGTAGCCAAGCTGGTAAATGGAAGAGAAAATACAGACTTCCAAATAAATCTAAAATCCTGACAAGAGAGTGCCACACCATGACTAATGTTTAATAAACTGCTAGTATATTTTTAACCAACAAATACATTGAGATAAACCACAGTCTTTACATACCATTTTACCCATTTTAATGGGTGTTTCATGATTTAAATCAATTCTGCTTTGTTATGTTAATAACTAAAATTTATGTTTTGATACTAAAACATACTAACTTGTTTCAAAAATTATTTTAAAATAAACTCCATATGTAGACTATGCTCTCATTTTTTTACTATTATTCTAAATTAAATAGGAACTGGTTTCTACTGAAAGAAAAATAATATACCAGTCACTTAAGGCAAAATAAACAATGACTTACTTAAGAAAAAAAAGCTTTCTTAAGGAAATGACCTAAATTACAGTCCTTGAAATATCTTCACATCGTATCAATTTTTCTTTGTCAAACCTCTTATTTCTCTTTAATGATTTAGAAAGAAAGGGAACTACGCTGGGATGGAAGATGTCACTTCTCTCATATTTGTCTTTCAGATGGAACCCCTTTGAGCTGGTGGGTTGGAAGAACCAACGAAACACAGACTTACTGGGGAGGTTCCTTGCTTGAGCCTCAAAAATGTACTTGTGGCTTGGAAGGAAGCTGCATTGATCCCCAATATTCTTGCAACTGTGATGCTGACCGAAATGAATGGTGATTTTCATATCTTTTCCCTATCAGGATAAAACCTATTTTCTTAGATTAATATCTTAAAATATGTATAGCTAGACAGATACCGAACAAATAGTACAATGAAGAAATTAGATGAAGGTGTATTTTAATGAAATGTGGTACGATGAATCTAATCCTAAAAGTTAAAATCAAAGCCTTTTAGGGGTTTTTTGTTTGTTTGTTTGTTTATGTATGTAAAGGACTGTAAATCATGTTCATTTTATTTTTATAATATGAGAACATAGAGCCATCTGTGGTATGGGAGTCAGTTATTATTCTCGTTAAAACTATGTGTAATTATGCATTCCATTTTTTCAAAATACATTATAGCCAATTACCAGAGCATATTTCATTAATAATCTGTCTATAGCAAGTTTGAACATATAATCTTAGAATTTCTCACAACTATCTTTTATATACTCTTTTTAATGGTTGCTAGTGGGTTGCATTGCGCTATTTTAATAATAGCATACTTATAGTGGACTTTGATCATATTCACCCCTCCATCATCCCTTCCTTTCCCCTCCCACCTGCTCCCCCCAATAGTCTTCCTTTTGTAATCATGTCGTATTATTGCTCTTATGATTATTGCTAGGTCAAGGTTCTGTATGAGTGAAAATGTGACATTTGTCTTTCTGAGCTTGCCTTATCTTTCTCAGCATGGTGATCTCCAGTTCTATCCATTTTGCTGCAAATGAAATAATTTCATTCTTTTGAATAGTATTCCATTGTGTGTATATACCACATTTTCTTTATCCATTCATCAGTTGTTGGGCACTTAGGCTGACTATAATTTGGCTATTCTAAATAATGCTACAATAAACATGGATATACAGGTATCTTTGTTGTATGTTGACTTATATTCCTTCAGATATACACCCAAGAGTGGTATAGCAGGATAGTATGGTAGTTCTTTTTTCTTTTCTTTCATGTCCTTTTTATTTCAACTTAAAGGAGAGAAGATTTATTTTGGCTCATAGTTTCAGAGGTTTCAGTCAATAGTTGCTTGGCTCCATTGCTTTAGTCCTGTGGAGACGCAGAACATTAGGAAATGTGTGGGAGTAAACCTGCTTGTTGACCTCATGACAGCCAAGAAGCAAAAAGGAAAGAAGGAGGAAGGAAGGGAGGAAGAAAGAAGGAAGGAAGGAAGGAAAAAAAGGAAGGAAGGAGTGTGGGGGGAAATAAAGTCCCAATATACCTTTCAAAGGCATTCCCTAATGATCAATTTCCTCCAAATATATCCCACTTCCTAAATTTTCTACCACTTTCCAATAACCCCATCATCTGAGGACCAAGCCTTCAACACATGAGCTTTTGGGGGACATTTAAAATTCAATAAAATTCAATCCATAGCATTATAGCTCTGACCCCAAAGGCTCATGTTTATCTCACAGTACAAAATGCATCCAGTCCATCTCCAGGAGTTTCCATAGTCTTAAAACAGTTCCAATATTGTTCAAAAGTCCAAGTCCAAAGTCTCTTTGAGACCTAAGGTAAAAATCTTAGCTATGAGCCCCTATAAAACCATAAAGTAAGTGATATACCTCCAACAGACAAAGCCATTAGAGTAAGAATTTCCATTCTAAAAGGGAAGATCTTTTTCAGTTTTCTGGGGAATCTCCATACTGACATCCATAGTGGCTAATGTAATTTACATTCCCACCAAGAGTGTTCCCCCCCCCTCCGCCCCGTGTCACTGCCGGCATTTGTGGTTGATTGTTTTTCTTGATGACAGCCATTCTGACTGGGGGGAGGTGGAATCCCAGTGTCATTTTGATTTGCGTTTCCTTTATGGCTAAGGATACTGAACGTGTATTTTTTGGTCATCCGTACTTCTTCTTTAGAAAATTATCTGTTCAATTCATTTGTTTATTTATGTTTTTTGTTATTTGATATTTGGTTGTTTATTATTTTGACCTCTATGTATTGTGAATATTAATCTTTTATGTGATGAATAACTGGCAAAGATTTTCTCCCATTCCGTAGGTTGTCTCTTAATTCCAGTCATTATTTCCTTTGATATGCAGAAACTTTTTAATTTAATGCAATTCATTTGTGGCTTTTTCCTCTTATTTCCTGAGTAATCTGCATATTCAGAAAGTCATTGTCTATATCATCTTCAGGTGTTTTTCCCTGTAGTAGTTCCAAGGTTTCTGGAAAAATCTTCATTCTACTTTGAATTGATTTTTGTACAGGTGAGAGGCAGGCATCAGTTTTCAGTCCTCCACATGTAGATATCCAGTTTTGTCAACATCATTTGTTGAAGAGACTGTCTTCTACAATGCATGTTTTTGACTCCCTTATCAAAGATCAGACAGCTATGGTTGTATGAGTTCTCACTTTACATGTATTTTTTAAAATTATTTTTTAAAGGATAAACCATGCCCCGAAAGACAAATGTTCTGTAGATCATATTTTGAGAAGGAAATCTGTAGCATTCTAGGAATTTGAAAACTGAACTTAAAACATTTTTCTAAGTAGAAAAGAAATCTTTTGTATGTGTTCTCCTTTGTCTGAAACAAATTAAAGATATTTCTTGTGTTTAAGATTACAGTAGGTGCATATATTGCCCTTGTTTATTACTTGTTAAGTATATCTTTTTTCAATTTCATACTTACATTTTAGCATGCCATAGGTATGTTTTTCATTACTAAGCAACTGGATCTCCATAGACTTATTTTTAAAAATACTGATAAAAACTTAAAATATTAACATTCTAAATATTAACATTTTAAATTATTAAAAGTACTAATTTGATATAAATATGATTGATTTGGTGTAAGATGTACATTTAGTGTGCTGTTAATTGAACTCATAAAATGAATTATATGATATCCCACTTGTTTACTTGGCAAACATCAAAATTCAACACATACATATGTATAGATATAAAAATTTATTATGAAGAGTGATGTCTCTCCTACCCAAGTTCTATACTTTTCCAAAATTTTACTCCCTTTGGAAGCATTTTTTTCTCACAACCTTCACAAAAATGGCCGATATCATTATGTCCTATTTTAAAATATATAAAAATGTAACAGCACTTAACGACAAAACTAACCTAATCAGCACAAATAACCTCCAGTGCCTCCACAACAGATCTATAATTAAAGCTAGATCAAAGTATGTTATGCGAATGTGTGGAAATGTCATGCTCAATCCCCATACTATGTACAACTTCATACACACTAATGAAAAAGAAAATACACTACAAAAATAAAACCCGCTTTTAAAAAATAAGAGTTTTAAAATTCTCATATTGCATTCTGCTTATGAAGTAGCTTGCATAACCTTTCTCAGATTATATTTACAACTTGAGGGAAAATATTATAAAAACAACTACTTGAAGTAAGGGGAGAGCAACCAAATATAGAAAGGAAGAACCTAAATGGGAGCGAGAGATTTAAAGTCCTTTTTCCTTGCAGGTACTTACCAATCACGTCATTGAATGCTAGAACTCAAAGAGCATACTAGATTCTTGTGGCTGTGGAGAGAAGGCTTAAGGTATCAAAGGACAGAGTTTGGGGGTGCAAGAATGACTGGAAATTGAGGGAAAGGGGGTACTTAGGAGGAGTTCACTGCATAAGCTCCCCTCAGATCCTCAGTTTTCTCTTGAACTGGGTGGGGAGATTTTTTAGGACAAAGCAGAGAGCAAGTTACAGAGATTTCCAAAAGTACTACCAGAAGAGAGACAGAATTTGGAATTTAAGTCTAATTGAGTTGGGCTTTGTAAACCTTCTAACTTTCCATAGATTCAATAGAGGGTCTCTGTCTTTATAGCAGACAGACTATGTGTTAGAATTGAGAGAAGATTGAAAACTAAGAGAAAACAAATGCCAGGTACCCTGGTTAAGTAAAAAACCAGTATCTACAATTTATTGTGATATAGTTGTGACTTGACAGTCTGTTGAAACAAAATGCAATCATCAGGGAACAATGGCAGAATCCAGGAACTTTACAATGTATAATCCATATCATCCAGAATATTATAATAATTACTGAATATTTAAAAATGAGTAAACTTTGATCTAAAGTCAAGAAATTAAAAGAAGCTATTACAAACAAACCCAAGGGCACTGATGTTAAAATTAGGAGGCAAAAACTTTGAAACAATTAGTGTAAACACATTTGAAGACTTCAAGGCAAAAATAATCATGATTGAAGAGGGAATTTTAAGCAAATAAATGAGCATTGTGTTAAAGAAAAAAATCTAAGTTTTAGAATTACAAAGTACAATATCTGAAATGAAAAAATTCTAAAAGAAATTCTTTAAAGGGAAATAAAACACCTAGATTTCAGGAAGAATGAAGATAACTAGAAATTATAAATACGTGGGTAAATATAAGACTCAGCATTTAAATTCTTAATTACAAAAATAAAATTCACTAGGTAATTGTAAAGTTTATAACATTTTGATTTAAGTATACTACAATTGTACAAAGAACAAGCATGTGAGAATATGTGTGTGTGTATGTGGAGGTGTGTTAAAATAAATTATTCCATACAAGCTTCTGGAATTTTTATATAGCATTGTACAACATAAAATATAAGTACAGTATGATAAATTATAGATGCATTTTGTAATTCATAAAGCAAACCTTAGACTATTAGCTAAATAGTTTTAGCTAAAAAGTGATTAGAGAAAATAAAACTGAATATGAAAAATAGAGCAAGTCAAGATGCAGAGGTAAAGGGGAAGTATAAGAGATCACATAAGGAAAAAAGAAACAAGTAGCAAAATAGAGAATCCAAAACCAGAATATTCATCATTACACTATTTAATGAATTAACCATTTCAGGCATAGGTAGAAAGTAGTTTACTGAATTAAAAAATTCCCAACTGTTTCTAATTTTAACATATGCTATATTTTATATTTTAATACAGGAAACATTGAAAAGTTCCCATATTTTTATCTGCTCAGATAAGCAATTGGATAAGCATTCTTTTGTTAGTATGCAAATTTAGCTGAAAACATCTTGGTTTTGAAATGCAACAAGGTCTATTGTTTATTTTAGAATTATGTTAGAATAATTTTAAGAATTTTGTTGCTACTTTTTTTTAGGACCAACGACACTGGATTCCTTTCCTATAAAGAACATCTGCCAGTAACTAAGATAGTGATTACGGACACTGGCCGGCCACATTCAGAAGCAGCTTATAAACTGGGACCTCTGCTGTGCCAGGGAGACAGTAAGTGGTCACAGTGAGCTGTGAGCTTATCCCAGAAAAGTGATTCCCTTAAGCATCATGTATCTGTGGAATGATAGTTGATCAGGCTCCTATCATGAAAACTTACAAGCAGGGTGAGAAATATTTTCTAGTTGGTCATTCAGTCAGCACTCCTGTGATGTACAAACCCTGTGATAAATTTGGAAATGGCAAACTTGTTAAGACTCTGAGAGAAAGAAAACACGAGGATGTTCACCTGATTGGTTCATTTCTAAATTTCTATGTATCCATACATGTGAATTTCCTACATGTAAGCCCGGGGTAAAATTAGAACATCAATTGAATCAAATGTCAGTTTGATCAAAATTATTTCAAATTTATTCTCTATTTTTTTTCAATTTGTGTGTGTGTGTGTGAACCACTGGAATCTACTGTTTTATATATTCAGTGTATTAATATCTTAAACCAGAATTTTAAAATTCAAACATACTTCAGAGTTCATGCATGCAAATGCACACACATACATGTACGGATGCATGTTTCCAGCAGGGACTAAAATGGGCATGTGTATCCAGTCATAGGTTATTAGCTTCTCTAAAGTCAGTTAACTTAGAGGTGCATGCATTAATGATGTAGGCTTTTAGTTTTTCCAGAACTTAAAATGGAAATAGAAGAACTATTTGTTTACATTAAATGCATACTCTAAAATAAAATTTTATTCTAGGATCTCAACAGAATTGAGGATCTGACAACTCAGTAGATATGGGGCTCTGTATAGCAGAAGTTGCTTAGTTAAAAAGCCAAGATGATACTGGCCTATAAAAATTATATATATACATTTATAAAACTGTCTGCCATAATACCCACCATCTTGGATGTGTTTCATCTCCACTTCCTATCCTGCCACAATCACACAATCACTTGAAGATGGCATAGAATTATACAAGAAAAACTATGTGCAAGAAAATGAGGTTGCAAACTCAGGATACATCTAGGAGAGTGTGACAGTTTTTCATGGCTATAGAGAAGCTATTCTATATATCACATTAGCTTTTCACTGCATACTCTGATCTTAACACTGCAGCTACCCAGGCTGCCTTTCTCTGTTTTCCTTATTTAATTTGCCATGATTTCTGGGAACCACTCTGCTTTGACTGAGGTCACTACCTGTTCTATTGCTTAGTATTTCTTTTCCCCACACTTCTAGCTGTCAACTTAAGCACATAGCATCCTTTACCTTGGAATACTGATTCTCCATCCGAGGCAATTTGCCTCCCTAGTGGAAATTTAGCAAGGTCTGGAGAAAGTTTTGGTTGTCATAGTTGAGGGGGCTGGGCTGCTACTAGCATGTAGGGGGTGAGCCTAGGATGCTGTCAAAATTCCTACGATGCATGAGGCCGTCCTCCACGAACAGTCATCTGTCCTGAGTGTCTGTTCTGCCAATGCAGAGAAGTTAGAGCATTGAATATAGTGACCATGGGAATACAGAAGAGGGCAATGTATTAGCAATATGAATTTACACATAGTTTTAAGTACGTAGAGGCCCAATGATTAGTTTCTGACTTATTAATGAAACAGCAATTGGCCTTATCTAACATGTCTACTTATAGGGTTGAGGCTCATGTCCATGAGGTCATGTGGTAGCCAGTTTTGTGTTGCTATGACAAAATACTTTCACAGAGACAATTTGGAAGGATGAAAGATTATTTTTGGCTCATGGTTTTGGTACATGGTTAGCTGACTCCTTTGTTTCTGGGCCATGATGAGGCAGAATAGCATGGCAGAAAGACATGGTGGAAGAAAGTTGCTCACCTCCTGATGTCCAGGAAGCAGAGAGAAAAAGGAAGAGGAAGGGTCTGGGGACCAGCAACATACTTCAAAAGTACACCACCAGTAACCTACTTCCTCCTGCCAGGCTCTACCTTCTACTTTTCATCACCTCTCAATAATGCTATCAAATTATCCATCCATCAATGGATTAGAACCCTCATGATCCAACTACCTTTCAATGACTGGCTCCACTAGCTGGGAACCAGGCTAATGAGCCTTTCTGGAGACACTTCATATCCAAACCATAACACATCATAAGGACTTCTACAAGTAGGGCTTTTACATTTTTCTCAGTCAGAAGAGCAGTGGTTGCACAACATCAAAATCCCTTTTCTCTTTATGGGAAACCTGCATACTTTAAGTGCAATACTCTAGGCACATTATTTTTCTTTTCAAGTGAGATACACTGGGCAGATATGAGACTTACAGATATAGATAAGATCCTGCACAGTGGATCTTATGAGCAGAGGAAGAGTGTGGGACATTACTTTGAAGATATCAGTACAGGGCATTAAATTTAAATCTAAAGACCAATAAAGAGACCTTTGGTACAAAACAAGAAAAAATGATGAAGTCTTGAAATAGGCAAGGGTTAGCATGGGGCTTAAGGAAGAAGTGGACCAACTGAAGGGGTAAATTCAATACAGTTGGGATGGAAAGTTGAGAATTTAAGGTTTAAAGGTGATCTGTGGCTCTGTGATTTGAATAAGGCTATTAATGTCATTCATCAAGATGAGATTTTAAAATTTTCTTTGAATAGGATAATGGAGAGGTTAAAAACAATAGAAAATTGCATCTTTTTTCCATTTTCTCAGAGATTGCTCTAGAATTCCAACTGGAGATGTTGGGAATTTTACATCTAGTCATTTTTTGGGGGAGGACAGAAACTTTGAGAAAAAACACAAATCAATAAAAGCGTATGAGACCTACTACTACCAGATAGAAGCTTTTCCCTAATAAGTTAATGTCATCTTTTTTTTTTTTCCCAAATCCTTCTTTTCATTTTGTTTCTGACATAGGTAGTTCTGAAATTCTGTGCTAGTGTACCATTATTGTTAATGTCAGAATGCATAGATAAAAATTGTTAGGTATTTTCTCAGAAGCACAATGGATCTAAAGGATAGATTTGCCTTTTAAAGTTGTACTACAGACATAAAACTTAGTAAATACTATTAATTAAATTTTGAATATATGAATAAAACTTTTGAACAAATAGATAACAGAATTCAATATCCAATTTATGATAAAACCCAAGAACTGAAGAGAATTCCCTCTGTGTTATAAAGGGCATCTGTGAAAATCCTATGGACATCATATGGAACAATGATTAAAATTCCTTTCTCATAAGTTAAGGATCAAAACAAGAATGTCTGTTCTTTGCTCTCTTATTCAATATAATGTTGGCGATCCTAGCACATGTAATAACTCAAGAAAAGAAATTCAAGTCACATAGGTCAGAAATAAAGAAACAAAATGTCTCTGATTTCAGGTGGCATAATTTTCTAGGTAGAAAAATCCCAAAGAATCTATTTTTCTTTTAAAAAAGTAAGTTTACCAAAGCCAGAGGGTACAAGGTCAATATACAAAGGTAAGCAATATTTATATATGCTGATAATGAAAAAAACTATAAATTGAAATGTTAAAAGTACCTTTTATACTGCTGTCAACAATATGAAATAGTTTCGTGCAAATATAACAAAATGACAACACACCAATAAGAAGTAATTAAATAACTAAATTAAAAGACCATAGTTTTGGATTAAAAAGACTTGATATTAGGATGTCAGTTTTCCCCAAGTTGACAAATACATTGAAAACAGTTCCAATCAAGACCCAGCAGCCTTTTTTTTTTTTTTGGAAGAAATTGGCATGTTTCTTTTAAAATGTACTTGGAAAAAGTAAAGAAACTGAAATAGCTAAAATATTTTGTAAATTAAAAACAAAGTTTGAAACATACTACATTATATAGCTACAATATTTAAGGCAGTGTGGTATTAGCAACAAGATAGGCAAACAGATTAATAAAATAGAAAAGGGAGCCCAGAAATGGTTCTACAAATCCATGGCTGATTGATTTCTGACAAAGCTGCCAAAGCAAATCATTGGTGAAAGGACAGTCCTTGTCACGACATGATTCTGGAACAATCAGAATCCCTTCAGAACTCATTCAAAAAAATCTCAACTCCTACTTCAAAGTAGATACAAAAAAAAATATTGCCCATAGACTTAAATGTAAAACCACAACCTGTAAAACTTGTCTTGGCATAGATTTCTTAGAAACAACACTAAAAGCATAATTCAAAACATAAAATAGAAAAGATAACCAGGTTTCACCAAAATTTAAATCTCCCTGCTTTTAAGATGATACTGGCAAGAAAACGAAATGAAAGCCACACACTGGAAGAACATATTCACAAAATACCTACCTGTAAAGAATTCTCTCCCAGTGAGATAATCAAAAAAATCAAATTAATGAATGAGCAAAAGATTCATACATAACTCTCCTTTGATAAAACATATGGATTCAGATAAGCACATAAAAAATCCTCAACATCATTTAACGTTGGGGAGTGCAAAATGCTATTGCATTGAGATACCAGTATGCAACTTTCAGAATGACTAAAATTACAAAAATAATAATGAAAACCTGGGATCCATCTCTTTGAAAAAGTTTGGCAGTTTTGTATCACGTTTAAGACACTTTATGTTTACCATGTGAACCAGCAATCTCCCTCCTAGGATTTTAACAAGAGAAATGTAAAACCTATATTGGCTTTATTCATAATCCACTAAAGTTGGAAACCACTAACTAGTGATTGAACACACATTCCATTTTACTGTACCACAACGTACAATGGGATACTAGTGAGTCATGAAAAGGAATGGACTGTTGGCTCCCAAAGCCACATGGACGAATGTCAATTGCATTACACTATATGACACAATCCACTCTCCAAAAGACATGCTTTGAATGATTCCACTTCTGAGAGACTCTAGAAACAGAAAAAAGGGTCTCCATTACCATGGCTTCAAGGTAAGAGGAATTTTATCAAGGGACACAAGGAACTTTTATCAGGTGAAGGAAATGTTTTGTAGCTTGAGTGTGGTGATGGCTTTGTGGCTTCATGCATTTGTCAAAATTCCTAGATCTACACACAAAAGGCTCAGTTTTACTCTATGGAAATTACCCT